TGGCCTGGAAATGCCAAAGAGTAGATGGTGATGGTCTGAAAAAGCTAAAAAAAAAAATTACCTAAAACCAGCCTGGAAGCGCCAAAAATAAGAGGAAAATGTTTTGAAAGAACTGGGGAAAAAAAAAAATTTAAAAAACCAGCCTGAAACAGCCAAAAAAATGAGCTAAAACTGGTATGGAAGTGCCAGAAGGGACTTAAGATGAGATCAAAAGTGCTAAAAATTAGTTAGAACCAGCCTGAAAACAGCCAAAAATGAGTTTAAATTCACCCGAAAAGTTCCAAAAGTGATCTAAAAACAGCCTGAAAAATGCCAAAGGTGAGACAAAACCGGGTAAAACGAATTAGAACAAAAACAGCCACCAAAGATTTAAAAATGGCCTGAATTGAGCCAAAAATGAGAAGAAAATGCCCGAAAAGCAAAAAGAGCTGAAAGCAAAAACGAATAAAAATGCCTGAAAATGAGAAAAAAACTTTAAAAAAAAACAAATCACGCTTGAAAACGCCCCCCCCCCCAAAAAAAGAACTAAAAAATCGCTTAAAACCACCCTGAAAAACAACGAGAAGTGAATTGAAACCGCCCAAAGGTGAGGGAAAACAACACAGAAAACATGGAAAAAGCAGTTTAAAAAAATTCCCAAATCGAGTTATAGAAGCACAGTGAGCTGAATTAGCCAAAAAATAAAAAAAGGAGCAAGGAGATGTTTTAAAGCACCCCAAAAATGAGAAAAAAAAAACAAAAAACAACGCGGGAAGTGCCCAAAAATGAGCGAAAATACATTGAAACCTCCCAAAAACCGAGAAAAAATACATTGAAACCTGCCCAAAACTGAGAAAAAATACATTGAAACCTCCCAAAAGTGAGAAAAAATACATTGAAACCTCCCAAAAACTGAGAAAAATCACATTGAAACCTCAAAAAAAACAAGAAAAAATACATTGAAACCTCCCAAAACCGAGAAAAAATACATTGAAACCTCCCAAAAACCGAGAAAAATCACATTGAAACCTCCCAAAAACGAGCAAAAATACATTGAAACCTCCCAAAAACCGAGAAAAAATACATTGAAACCTCCCAAAAAACCGAGAAAAATCACATTGAAACCTCCCAAAAACCGAGAAAAAATACATTGAAACCTGCCCAAAAATGAGAAAAAATACATTGAAACCTCCCAAAAACTGAGAAAAGATACATTGAAACCTCCCAAAAAACCGAGAAAAAATACATTGAAACCTCCCAAAAACGAGAAAAAATACATTGAAACCTCCCAAAAACCGAGAAAAATCACATTGAAACCTCCCAAAAAACCGAGAAAAATCACATTGAAACTTCCCAAAATCGAGAAAAAATACATTGAAACTTCCCAAAAAACCGAGAAAAAATACATTGAAACCTCCCAAAAAACCGAGAAAAATCACATTGAAACCTCCCAAAATTGAACAAAAAGAAATTGAAACCTCCCAAAATCGAGAAAAAATACATTGAAACCTCCCAAAAACGAGCAGAAATCACATTGAAACCTCCCAAAAGCATGAAAAAAACACATTGAAACTTCCCAAAAACCAAGAGAAATCACATTGAAACCTCCCAAAAGTGAGAAAAATCACATTGAAACCTCCTAAAAACCGAGCAAAAACAAATTGAAACCTCCCAAAAACGAGCGAAAATCACATTGAAACCTCCCAAAATCGAATAAAAACAAATTTAAACCTCCCAAAAATCGAGAAAAAACACATTGAAACCTCCCAAAAATCGAATAAAAACAAATTGAAACCTCCTAAAAATCGAGAAAAAACAAATTGAAACCTCCCAAAATCGAACAAAAACAAATTGAAACCTCCCAAAACCGAACGAAAAAAAAAATT